CAGCCCTATGACCTTGATCAAGATACTAAACCTCACAGAACTTCATGAATAGGGCTTGAATTAGATGAACTCATATATATATATATATATATATTAGCCTATAGAGTATGATTTGTGTTCCCAATGTCCTTTGGTGTAGATCTATTCACTGGACCCACCAAAAGTCCCAACTCATTAAGACACTGTCTTTCTCCCTCCTAATAGCCATCAATTGCCAAAGTTCCTTAGGTTGGACTGGGATTTCTGACTCACTTCCCCATGTCTATGCTGAGATTTTGTCTGATTTGAGCTTGCATAAGACTTGTGCTTGCTGTCATTGCTATGAGTTCATATTAGTAACTGACCAACTGTCTTGAAGATTCTGTTTCCTTATGGTCATCCACCCCCTCTGGCTCTTACAATCTTTCTGCCTCCTCTTCCCCAATGATCCCTGAGCCTTGGGAGGCAGAGGTTTGAAATAGGTCCTATTGAGGGATAAGTACTCTGCAGCCTTTTGTTCTTTCCTGGGGGTCTGCCACACTCCAGTGGATGGTTCCCACACCAAAGAGTAAAGCACAAATTGGAGTTGAGTGGCTATTTTTTTTAAAAAGACACAAAGTGGGAGGAGGGGAGAGAGGGAGGCATCTAAAAAAAAAAAAAAAAAGATCTCTGATGCCTCCTGCCTGCTTCTCTATTTTAACATACAAGACATGGAATACTGCAAACTTTCTGTCTTGCTCTTTCATTAATGAGAGCCATGGCCTCACCCAAAACAACAAGGTCCAGGAGTGCTGGCTAGGAGCATGTGAATCAGTATGCTTTGGAGCTGAGGTAAACGCAACTTAACTATAAACTGTTCCCCTGATCTTACTACTTCTTACACTCTTGTACTCCCCACCCCTTTGTGATTGTATCATATTAGAAAAACATCCTTCCACTTCCTGAGAAACCTCTAGTATCAAGAAAGAAGGAAATGTGTTTTTCTTGGTGTGAAATTCCATGTTATCCAGAGATGTAAATGAGGAGAAAGGACAGTCGTGAGCCAGCATCCTTTGAACCTAACTGAATCCATACTACAAGTTTTTTGTGATGGTGCCAAGAAGAAGCAGAATATGTCAAAGGTTACAACATCTACTACAGCAAGGTTGTCAGACCTGGCTTTGATTGATATGCAAAGATTCAAAGAGTCCAGGGAACTGACAGAATGAAGTTTAGCTTTTCAAGCAAGGCTACTTAAACAAAGATTCCTATTACATTTCAAAAGGACATCTTAGCTATATATCCATGTAATTAAATATTTTATTCAAACGTAAAAGTAATGAAGTTCTTGAATATGGTACAACATGCATGAACCTTGAAACATTATGCTAAATGAAATAAGACTCAGAAGGACAAATATGATCCACTTACATGATGAAGATAGAATAGACAAATAGATAGGGACCGTAAGCACCTTGGAGGTTGCTGGAGGTAAAGGCACAGAGCTTCTGTCCCAAGTGATTAAAAAAATATATAGTTGGGCTGGAGAGATGGCTCAGCAGTTAAGAACACTGGTTGTTCTTACAGAAGACCCTGGGTTCAAATCCCAGCACCCACAGGGCAGCTAACAACTGTCTGTAACTCCAGTTCCAAGGGATCCCACAGTCTCCTGTCCTCCACAGGCACTGCACAACATGGGTGCACTTACCTACAAGCAGGCAATACATGCATACACATAAAATTTTTAAAAATAATAAACAAAATATTTTAAAAAATACATAGTGGGCAGTGGCTACACAGGTACTTTCACCTTTAAAAAGGTGAAAATCAGCCAGGCATACTGGTGCATGCCTTGAATCCCAGCACTTAGGAGGAAGAGACAGGCTGATCTCTGTGCGATGGAGGTCAGTCTGGTCTACATAGTGAGGTCCAGGCCAGTTGGGGCTACATACAAGGAGACCTTTTCTCAAAAAACAAGACAACAAAACAAAAAGGTGAAAATAACCACAACAGAAAGACATTTAACCACAACACATACACCCTTTGAGCACTGAGGCTCACCCACAGATCTTTTGCTGAGGCTAGAGGAAAGGACAGGTGCAGATTTAAAAGAATTTGTCAGTTTGGCTGTGGAAACACGCAGCTCTGGACCATAGGCCAAGAGTGAAAGGGTCTTGGGATTGGATCCTACTTCAACTTCCCTGTGCAATCCTTTAAAAAATTTTTGTTTTATTTATTATTATGTGTGTGTGTGTGTGTGTGTGCGCGTGCGTGCCTGATTGGGGGGGGGGGACATGCCACAGAGACTGTGGAGGCCAGAGGACAACCTCGTAGAGTCAGTTCTTCCTCTTTACCTTTACATGGGTTCTAGGAATTGAACTCAGGTCATCAGGCCTGTGCAGCAAGCACTTTACTCAGCCATCTCCAGAACCCCGTCCAACTTTTAATTGTCTCCATGCCCTGAGCATACCAGCCAACAGAGTCACTGCTATGAAAACTTGCCTTCAGTCAAGCCCAGTACAACAACCGGCTCTTTCCCACTCTCCCTCCCCCTCTTCAAAGCCAACTCAAGAACCATTTCCATGTGGAGGAGACTCTAATTGGCTTTCATCCTCTTCACTGATTCCCTTGGCCTTGAAGACTATCGGCGTACAGGATATTCTCCCCCCCACAGAGGAGGGAACTGATTACTGTTTCCACTTGTTAATCTTGAATAGGTTCTTGGTTCTTTCTGTTAATCTTATTTGGTATGTCTCAGTAAACAAGTCCTGACCATAATTGGTACTTAGACATTCCATAGTGCTTAATGCACATATATAACCATAGGATCTGTGCTTACTAGAAATCTTTACAATAAATATATTCATGGAATATTAGCTCCATGTTGATAGAAAAAATATCAGGTTCTAAAATCTTTTTGTGTGCTTGTTTACTTTGAGACAGGTTCTCACTATGTAGCCCTGGATGACCAGGAACTTGGTATGTAGACCAGGCTGCCCTCCAACTCACAGAGATTCATCTGCCCCTGACTCTAGAGTACTAGAATTAAAGGTGTGTGTCAAAACACCAGGCTTCTGGTGTTAAATAAATCAAGTGATGCCCGTGTGGTAGCGCTCACCTTTAATCCCAGCACTCAGGAGGCAGAAGCAGATGAATGCTGTGAGTTAAAGGTCATCCTGGTCTACATAGTGAGTTCCAGGCCAGCTGGGGCTACAGGAAGGTCTTGTCTCAAAAAGACCAAAAGAAAGAAGTCAAGTGACTTATGTTAGTTCATTAATTAATAAAACATAACAGTCCTTAAAAGTTCATCTTCTCATGAATGAGTTTTCTAGTGTATGTCCAAGAGGGCATCAACCTATGAAAGATTTTTCATAGAGAAAAATGACATATTTAGTTAGCCAAGTCATTAAACAAAACTTACCCAATTGTGCCTTAATTTTCACCTTTAAGAAGTTACTAAACAGGGGCTGGAGAGATGGCTCAGCGTTAAGAGCACTGACTGTTCTTGCAGAGGACCTGGGTTCGATTCCCAGCACCCACCTGGTGGCTATGAACCATCCTTAACTCCAATTCCAGGGGAATCCGAAGACCTCTTCTGACCTCTGCAGCATTGCACGACACGGGTGCACATGCAGGCATTACACTCATACACATAAGAAAAAAAAAGTTACTAAATAATATATAGTTACAGTAGAAAATTAGAAAAAAAAAATCAGAAAAAAAGTCCATAATCCCACTACTTAAAGTAAACAACTATCAATGGTTTCTTCTCACACGTTTTTCTTCTTTTTTAAAAAAGATTTTGTTTTTATTTTATTTTATTTTTTATTTTTTGGTCTTTTTGAAACAGGGTCTCCCTGTAGCCCCAGCTGTCCTGGAACTCACGATGTAGACCAGGCTGGCCTTGAACTCATAGAGATCCACCTGCCTCTGCCTCCCTAGTGCTGGGATTAAAAGCGTGTGTCACCACGCCCAGCTTTATTTTTATTTTTTAAGTATGTATATGTCTACATGTGTGGGTATGTGCATGTGAGAGCAGGTGCTCTCACAGGCCAGAGATGACAGATCCCCTGGAGGTGGAGTTAGAGGCAGTTGTGAGCCTCCAGATGTGGGTGCTAGGAATCAAACACCAATCCTCTCGAAGAGCAGCAAGTGCTCTTAACCACTGAGCCATCTCGTCAGCCTCCATCATCCATTTTTCTGTGAATTGACATAGACCTCTTACTTTGAGCATAAAATGGGATATGTGTATCTTACTTATTTTTTCATTTTTGAGACAGGGTCTCACGTATCTAAGGCTGGTCTTGCACTCACTATGTAGCCAAAGATGATCTCTGAACTCCTGATCCTCCTGTGTCTACCTTCTAAGTGCTAAGATCACAGGTGTGCACCACCACAGCTGGCTCATGTGGGACTGGGGATCAAATCTAGGCTTTGAGCTTGCTAGGCAAATTGAGCTATATCCTTGGTCCTGTGTATCTTTCTATATGACAGGCTTTTTAATTTGAAGGAAGGAAGAATACATTTACAGGTCAAATATATGTCTATGCTCCCATTAATGACTTCATGACTCATAGATCAGTCTTCTATTTTTTAAATGATCTCATTTTTTTTCTGTCACCCAATAATCTCTGTGATGAATATTCCTCTGTTTTCACATACTCGTCCACTTTTTTCCTTAAGATGAACTCCTGGAAGTAGAACTTACAAGTCAATAGCAACCACCTATTTAAAAAATGATGTTTAAATAAAACACAGGTGGTAATAAAGATTTAGGGAGCACACTACCTTTGTAGTACTCTGATGTGTTTAAAATTTGTAAACCAGATAAAACCCAACAGAAAAAAGTTAATCCGAAGAATTTACAAAGATGTTTTCCACATCTTAGCCACTCAGAGGTATGAAAATAAATAACTGAAGATTCTAGATCTAACATTGATTTGAAAGACAAGACATATCCCAATTTCAGAAAAGATTTTTATTAGTTTTTTGATCATGTGAGAAATAGAGGTTAAGCTGAAAAAAGATGAACTCATATTTGTAAAATTAATTTCTCCCAATGTCAGAGAAAAAATTTTATTAGACTGACTTAAGAAATATACATTCATTATAAAAAATGTGGAAAACATATAGAGAAAAGGTGAAATTTTCAGAATCCAACAGATACATCATAACCTTGCAGTTTTACCATTTTCTATACAATGCATTTTTAAAACAATCTGCTATTCTCTCTCCCATTCCAGCTCTGCATGGGGCAGGCACTCCATTCTTGTTCTAGGAGGCAGCCCTCCCTGCTGAGCTGTGACTGTTTCCCTGCTTAATTCTCAGCCTCCATATAAACCCACAACCCACCTCAAAGCATGCAAGGTTCCTGAGCCCAACTGCCAGTGCTCAGCACAGTAGGGGAGCTGCAAGTCCACTGCACATTCTTCACATCAGAGGCTTTGCCCCAGAACACTAAGGATTTATCTCAACCCATCAATCACCTAAGCAGAAACTGTACCTCTTAAAACTGATCGAGTATCTTGAAATTTTAGAAGTCCTCCTCACCCATTCAACCTTTACAATATCTTTCTAAAGCAAAAAAGAGCTGATATGCCCCATTAAACTGGAAAGGAAACTGAGGCATGGAGCTGTGTGAACAGCATACCTAGTGAGTGGCAGAGCTTGGATATGATGTCATAAATTGACTCGGAGGTCATCACTCTACAAAGCAATGTTTAAGACTGGCAACTGGAGGTTAAGAATCAGAAGGATCGTTAATAAATCCTAGAGCCTAAGCGCCTCTTAGCTAGTCAGTCACACATAAAGGAACATAAGGCCCAAAGTAACTCGAGGACTGCCAATCACCAGCTAGTGATGAGGTGGATCTACAGCACGGTCTTCAGGCTTTCAGGCCAATGCGCACTCCAGTTGTCCCTAGAGATGCTCTTTAATAAGATGTTCTCTTGTCCAAAGTCTTCTACTGATGTCAAGCAGGAATTAAAATCCTAAAAGTGTAGAAAATTAGAGCCAGAAAGGAACCTTAAAGAGCACCCAGGCCAACCCCTGGCTTTACAGAGGAGGAATGTGAGGTCTGAACCTCATGTCTTCTCTCTGCATCTTTCACTAATCATTACATTACTTCCTTCAGAACAGGATTAGAAACTGTATCTGGTCAAAAGCATTTACTTCCTTCTTTGCCACTCTGTGTGATAAACTAAGGCTGGCAAAGCGAAAGTGAAACTGAACAAGATTTGACATCTTGAAAACACTTGGTAAAAGGTATACCCCCCATGAATGTCTGCATCACAAAATAACCAATTTGTGCCAGGTTCCAAGAAGGCTCCCCACTCTACCCAGTCCACAGCGTGCCCTGGAGCCCCCTGAAAGGATCTACAGAAGAGTATCTTAGAAAACAGTACCAACGTGGCCTTCACAAGTCACCTATCCCTTTAATCTGCAAAGCTAGCAATATTCTTTGGTTAACTACTCTACAAATCAACTAAAATCCCAGTTGAAAATGTCAGCACCTTACAGGGCTATCTCAGTTTCCCCATAATCCACATCCAAAAGACTCTGGCCTTCCCCCTAGGATCACTACCTGGTGCCATGGAAATCAGAATGTGACCGTGGGCAACCTTGATTCTTCAGCAGTTCCAGGGTCCTGTGACTAGCTGGATCTCTCTAATGAGACTGAAAACTCACTAATGGCAAGATAGCACCTTTTTTTAAAAAAAGACAGGGTCTCACTAAGTATGTATGTAGCCCTGGCTGGCCTAGAAATCGATATGTAGAACCAAACTCATTCTCCAACCTCTACCTCGGAGTGCTAGGATTAAAGGCGTGCGCACCACACTGAGCCATGGGACCACTTCGATGGATTACAGTGTGCCAGATAATGTCCATGGAAGATAAGATATGGCCCCTAAATCAAGAATCTTACAGAAGGAAAACCAAAATCGTGTGCAAAACTAAGCGCAGTCTCAGAGCTGTAAACAGGAGCCAGGGACCTAAGAAGTGGAGCATCTACTGGTGAGGCAGCCGCGAGGTGAGGTAACAGAGCTGTTCTAAAAGGCTAGCAAAATCAGTCGGGCAAGGGTGGCGGTGGGCAAGCCAGGCAGGCGGGCCAGCCTCAGCAGCCTCAGCAAGGAGAAGAAACAGCTTGGTTTACAGGAGATAAACAGTCCAACGTTGCTGGAACATCAAGTGCCAGGCGGGGAGTGGTGGGCGTTCAGGCTGGAGCGGTGGGCCTAGCAAGGTGCAGCAGGCATCGAGCCCGCGCACTCAATTCTCGCTGACCTGGTACCCGGACGGCCGCTTACGCAATTCGCAAGTGAACTAACCGGGCGCCCACGGCGCGGCTGTCAGTGGAGGTCTGTGGTGGCACTGCCAGCCCCCCTCCCGCGGGCACCTGTACGCCTTCGCAGCCGGCAAAGCGCACGCCGGCTGCCCGAATCCACCAGATCACCGCGGCCCGAAGCCCCGGCACGGCCAGCGCTGCCCGGGTATCCCGCCCCGGACCCCCGGTATTCGCTCGGGTTTAAACGCCTGTTGACGCACAGTGGTGGCTGGTGCGCGCTAGCGGGCGGGAGAGCGGTTTTCTCTGCAGTCGCCACCAGGTTCCCCGAAGAACAGTCCCCGCGGGCCTCCCAGACCCGGGGCCCGGGCGCAGGTGCCTCGGCCCGGATGGCACCAGGCCGGGCACGGCGGGGAAGGGGCCGGTGCCATGCGGAGCTTGCGCTAGGCGCAGTGCCGGCTCGTCCTCCCGGGTTAGCGCAGCGGCAAACCAGCGAGACAAGCGCCCTCCTCTCCGCCCGCGGCGGGGCAGGCAGGGCAGGGGCGGCCGAT